CAGTGAACTCTGACTGAAGACTTTGGAGTAGAAACCCATGATTCCACTGCAAGTGTCTTATCTCTGCTGAAAACAGTGAAGGAGGTTGCACTGACTGCAATGACTGCTGGCTCGAGCGAGGATGCAGCCGTTTGATCAACTCGTCACGCAGGGCCTTGTCTCAGCCAATCAGCTGCCATCTATGTACGCGTCAGTGCCGTCAGCCAGCGTTGGCCTAAAGAGAATCTTGTCTTTATCCCCCGCGCGCATGGAAAGGCTTCAACATATTTACGCACGAGGAGGATGGGGATTCTTTTAAAATTCCTTTTTCGCTTTGAAATTTTTCAATTCTTTGTAAAGCATTAATAGGAAGTGAACGCATTCAAACAGTGCTCTGGGGCGATTTTCCTGTTAATTAAGAAACATTTTAATGAGAAATTAACTTAGCTAGAATTAAACTGTCGGTAGGTCTGCATAAGCCTTATTTTCGCACCGCATTCCTTTCTTAAAATTGCTTCGTGGATCATGAGCTGTCCACGACTCTGTTGTTGGGAGAAAGTGAAGGAGGACTATAATAAACCTACCCGAGTATATTTATTCTAATACCCTCATGTTCACGAAAGTTGAGCCAAACTAGCTCCAATGAAGGACTGTTGGTCAAGATGACTACGATTTCAAATGAGACTTCTTTAATTCCCGAACGAACATGGTAGCGGCGAAAGGCGTGGCATTGAGGCAATCGTAAGGTAAACTTTGTATTTTTTACCACACAGCGCATGATACTGAAACAATTCATCTAAAGCCGTCACTGGATGATCTAACTAATAACGGCGAAACCGACAGGAGGGGCCTTTTAAAAGCCCTCTCTATTTCACATTTCACATTTTCACAGTTGTTTTTCATTAAAACTAATTGAGCCCGTTCAAGCAGAGCTCTGGAGCGTTCCTCTTTTTTTATTGGCAAATGTTCAAATAGATATGTTACTTCGTCTGGAAGGAAACTGTTGAATCACCACGGAACGGAAAAACCCCAGAATTCTGTAATACGTTACAGGTCATTCCATATCTTGTATTGCATCCCCCCCCTCCCACCCTCACGGAAATCTACAGTGGGATGTAACTTTTACTTAAGGGCTCAGTTATAATACTCACTACAAAGGTACGTACTTCCTATCGACATCTTACATTGCACCCTAGATAATTTCTATGTAAACTGTTGGCGTCAATCAGGATGTAGAGGTGGGCTAGCTACCGGTCGTCTGTGGGGCCACTGTCAGAGGACAGCTGT